TTTGAATCAGTGTGTTTAGCAATATCCAACAAGGCAGGACAGGATTAGGCTTTACCTGCATTTTTCAGCCAGGCTCCGGGAGGTAAATAAATGGCCTATACCAGTGATGGCGAACCCGTGGCACGCGTGCCACAGCCGCACGAGGCACGCCGAGCCTTATCTGTGGGCACGCCAGGAGAATCCAGCGGCGCGCTATCTTCCCGGCTGTAGTGTGCGTGAGACAGCCGGGTCCCAAATGCACATGCACAAGAAGCAGTGCTCTTTGTGAATGGTAAGGCGGTACCTGGGACACATGACAGATCCCAGAAGCCGCCGGACCAATCACAAAGCGCAGCGCTTCTCGCGCATGCGCACTGGGCAATATCCGGCTGTCCGACGAGCGCCCACACTACAGAAGCCGGGAAGACAGCGCGCGGCTGGATAAAGGAACAGGTAAGATAAAAAAAAAAACTCTGCGGAAGTAAGAGCGGGTACCTGTCAAATTCAGGTACCCGCTCCCCCTCCCTCCCCAAAGGTCAGCAGTCATCCCTGTGCTGTCCGCGTGCAGTCTCTGGCCATCTCCTGTCCTGTGTCCGCAGTCTCCTGGCCATCTCCTGTCCTGTGTCCGCAGTCTCTGGCCATCTCCTGTCCTGTGTCCGCAGTCTCTGGCCATCTCCTGTCCTGTGTCCGCAGTCTCTGGCCATCTCCTGTCCTGTGTCCGCAGTCTCTGGCCATCTCCTGTCCTGTGTCCGCAGTCTCTGGCCATCTCCTGTCCTGTGTCCGCAGTCTCTGGCATCTCCTGTCCTGTGTCCGCAGTCTCTGGCCATCTCCTGTCCTGTGTCCGCAGTCTCTGGCCATCTCCTGTCTGGTGTCCGCAGTCTCTGGCCATCTCCTGTCCTGTGTCCGCAGTCTCTGGTATCTCCTGTCCTGTGTCCGCAGTCTCTGGCCATCCCTGTCTGTGTCCGCAGTCTCTGGCCATCTCCTGTCCTGTGTCCGCAGTCTCTGGCATCTCCTGTCCTGTGTCCGCAGTCTGGCCATCTCCTGTCCTGTGTCCGCAGTCTCTGGCCATCTCCTGTCCTGTGTCCGCAGTCTCTGGCCATCTCCTGTCCTGTGTCCGCAGTCTCTGGCCATCTCCTGTCCTGTGTCCGCAGTCTCTGGCCATCTCCTGTCCTGTGTCCGCAGTCTCTGGCCATCTCCTGTCCTGTGTCCGCAGTCTCTGGCCATCTCCTGTCCTGTGTCCGCAGTCTCTGGCCATCTCCTGTCCTGTGTCCGCAGTCTCTGGCCATCTCCTGTCCTGTGTCCGCAGTCTCTGGCCATCTCCTGTCCTGTGTCCGCAGTCTCTGGTCATCCCTGTCCTGTGTCCGCAGTCTCTGGTCATCCCCTGTACTGTGTCCGCAGTCTCTGGTCACCCCTGTACTCCTGTCCCTGTGTCCGCAGTCTCTGGTCACTCCTGTACTGTGTCCGCAGTCTCTGGTCATCCCTGTACTGTGTCCGCAGTCTCTGGTCACCCCTGTACTGTGTCCGCAGTCTCTGGTCACCCCTGTACTGTGTCCGCAGTCTCTGGTCACCCCTGTACTGTGTCCGCAGTCTCTGGTCACCCCTGTACTGTGTCCGCAGTCTCTGGTCATCCCTGTACTGTGTCCGCAGTCTCTGGTCATCCCTGTACTGTGTCCGCAGTCTCTGGTCATCCCTGTACTGTGTCCGCAGTCTCTGGTCATCCCTGTACTGTGTCCGCAGTCTCTGGTCATCCCTGTACTGTGTCCGCAGTCTCTGGTCATCCCTGTACTGTGTCCGCAGTCTCTGGTCATCCCTGTACTGTTAATTAGTTTGCACTACTGTACGAGTTGTTTTTTCTAAACCAAAAGCTCGATATTCAGGTTTCATTGCAGTGTTGGCACTTTGAAAGAAATAAGTTGGTTTTGGGTTGCAGTTTGGGCACTCGGGCTCAAAAAGGTTCGCCATCACTGGCCTATACCTATAGCAAAAGGCATTATTCAACTTTGGTCAAAGCTGCACAGTTGGTTTTTATCTACAGATACCCCCTTACATGCATAGGCTGTTTTAGGTAAAAAAAAGTGAATACTTTAAAGCAACAAGCTTTCAGGAGGTGGGAAGGAGCAAGGTACAGGTCAAGTTTACAATTACATTTTGCTTTAGTGGCCTGTATGCCTGGATATAATTGGAGGTAATCTCTGAGGTATTTTCCTAACATGTTTAGTTTGAATTTTCTGGGTTCTCAGTAGGTTTACAGTTATACTGCTGTCTTCAGACAGGATAGACATAGAATACAAAGTACACTGCTCAAAATAATTAAAGGAACACTTTTTAATCAGAGTATAGCATCAAGTCAAATAAACTCCTGGGATATTGATATGGTCAGTTAAGTAGCAGAGGGGGTTGTTAATCGGTTTCAGCTGCTTTGGGGTTAATGAAATTAAGAGGTGCACTAGATGGGCAACAATGAGACAACCCCAAAACAGGAATGGTTTTACAGGTTAAGGCCACTGACATTTTTTTCCCCTACTCATCTTTTCTGACTATTTTTCACTAGTTTTGCATTTGGCTAGGGTCAGTGTCGCTACTGATAGCATGAGGAGATACCTGAACCCAACAGAAGTTGCAGAGGCAGTCCAACTCCTCCAGGATGGCACATCAATACGTGCCATTGCCAGAAGGTTTGCTGTGTCTCCCAGCAAAGTCTCAAGAGTATGGAGGAGATTCTAGGAGACAGGCAGTTACTCCAGGAGAGCTGGACAGGGCCATAGAAAGCCCTAACCCATCAGCAGGACCAGTATCTGCTCCTTTGTGCAAGGAGGAACAGGATGAGCACTGCCAGAGCCCTACAAAATTACCTCCAGCAGGCCACTGGTGTGAATGTCTCTGACCAAATAATCAGAAACAGACTTCATGAGGGTGGCCTGAGGGCCCAACATCCTCTAGTGGACCCAGCACCATAGAGCTCGATTGGCATTTGCCATTGAACACCAGAATTGGCAGGTCCACAACTGGAGCCCTGTGCTTTTCACAGATGAGAGCAGGTTCACCCAGAGCACATGTGACAGATATGAAAGGGTCTGGAGAAGTTGTGGAGAACATTATGCTGCCTGTAACATCATTCAGCATGACCGGTTTGGTGGTGGGTCAGTGATGGTCTGGGGATGCATAACCATGGAGGGACACACAGACCTCTACAGGATTGAGAATGGCTCCCTGACTGCTATTAGGTATCAATATGAAATCCTTGGACCAACTGTCAGACCCTTCACTGGTGCAGTGGGTCCTGGGTTCCTCCTGGTGCACGACAATGCCCGGCCTCAGGTTGGGAGAGTATGCAGGCAGTTCCTGGAGGATGAAGGAATTGATACCACTGAATGGCCCCCATGCTCTCCTGACCTAAATCCAATAGAACACCTCTAGGATATCATGTTTTGGTCCATCTGACGCCGCAGGTTGCCCCTTAGACTGTCCAGGAGCTCAGTGATGCCCTGGTCCAGATCTGGGAGGAAATACCCCAGGACACCATCTGTTGTCTCATTAGGAGCATGCCCTGACATTGTCAGGCACGCATACAAGCCGTGGGGGCGATACAAACTACATATTAATATAAATATAAATAAACAGCGCAAATTTAGATAATTAATCAATATAATAAATCATATAAAATAGGTGCATAAATTATTCGTGTTTGCCCTTAATCTTAAACAAAAACACCCAAAAGTCCATGTGCTGAAAACATACACATGGACTTTTGGGTGTTTTTGTTTAAGATTAAGGGCAAACACGAATAATTTATGCACCTATTTTATATGATTTATTATATTGATTAATTATCTAAATTTGCGCTGTTTTATTTATATTGTTTGTGTTTTCACGATTGGCACAGCAGCACTTTTAGAGTGTTATTTGGAAAGTTTTGGCGCAGGAATAAGTTTTCTTGTACAAACTACATATTACCCAGTCCATATCAGTATAGATATCCATCATGTTTTTTTTCCCCATTGAGATCTGAAGTGTTCCTTTAATTTTTTTGAACAGTGTATACATTTCAAATACATAATACATAGAATACAGGACATACTTTCCATGTACAGCTGACATTGTGTTCACATTCTTACCATCAGCCTCCTCAATTTCAAAGTATCTGTAGTTGAAGTGGATGGTTGGGACATGGGGATTCTTGGGGTGGATAACAGAACTAACCCCCATAGCAGTGAAAGGCAGCTTCCCTGAAGATAGGACAAAAAAAAAAAAAAAAAATAGGAAGGGAAGGAAAATTTACACCAAAAACTCACAAGATAATTCTAGTTGTAAATCAAAAATGTATAACAATAAAAAGGGATACCCCAATGTTGTTGGTGCAAGAGCTTTCTTCCCAGTACTATGCTTTTTTTCTACACCTAGGTGCCATGTCAGGACTACCCTAGAACAAGACTTGCTTTACAGTAAAACCAACAGTTGAAATATCTACATATACCCTTTATATATACACACATTTTACCTACAAAATCTTGCACAGCCAAATCTTGTGGTTTACAAACATTTCCCAATTAGCCAAATCAGAACGATGACCTATATTGTGCTACAACAAAGAAAATCAGCTTTCATCTTATCCTCCAGCCTACTCATTGCACAGGGAATCAACATCACCACCTCCATCCAGTAAGCATACTTAGGCCTCATTCACACAGGTATATTACTGATCTATACCAAGGGCTGTCTTCAGCCACTCAGGATCCATAGGTGTTCATGCAGGCAGCCAATTTCAAATCAATGACAGTCAGCTGGCTGCACTGACCTTCACACATATACCAAAGAGAATGCCTGGATCTAGGGGGGTGTTGGGGTGAGCCCCCCCCAATTTTAAATGTTCCCCCAAAGCCAACCCTAACCTGCCACTATACTATACTATATACTAACCTGCCCTAAATTGACACAATACCACCCTAATCTGATACTTTACCACCCTAATTTTACATTATACTGCCCTAACCCAGACACTATACTGATCTCAGTTATGCATAGTGTGGGTAGGAGGAGCTCTGCTGCCTGTGTCCAGGCTGTGTGCAGTGCAGGGGTGGGAGAAGGCGATGTGCCCCTGTCCTCTGCCCTGCTGACCTCCCATCCTCCTTCCCCTCTGAAATTTTTTTACTGCACCCTCACATTGAACAGACTAGATCCAGCCCTGCCAGAGAGTACATCTACGCAGATCGAGAGCATAGATCAGAAAGCAGACTGGGTTCTGATCTGTGCACCTGTCATGAGGCCTAAGCCCTGATTCACACCGGTGCAACTTCAGGTGCCACGAGATTTACAAATCACACCTGAAGTCGCATCTAATGTATTTCTGTGGCACGGTCTTAATCAGTGAGATATGAAGTAGCTCAATTTTCAAAAGTAGTTCCTGCATTACTTTTTTCTGATTTCATTGTGAATTGCATTGACTTCTGTTAAGTTGCAAGTTGCCGTTCACAAACAGTGCCTGCATTTTCAAGCTGTGCGTGCTCGGTCTCCTCCGGACACAGCGGAACACCGATCGCTGTACAGGAACTCTGTGAGGTCCTGATCATGTGATCACTGATTGGCCAATCATGTGATCACATGAATAGTAGTAAGCAAGATGTCATTTCTGACATTGCCTACTACTAGTGAAATATGAATGAATGATCACAGAGGTCACATGGTAAAAGGCTATTCACAACAGCCTTGCACCAGGTGACAAGCTGTGACCAATCACAGCTCTCACAGTATTTCTCAATAGCTGCAAGAATGCAGCCAGAGAGAAGGAGAAATGATTGCTTTTACAGCCTTTATGGGTGTAAAAGCAATCAGTGTAAAAAAAGAAAAAATTTTCATCACCCCCCCACAAGTAGTACAGTGTCACTATGGTGACACTGTACTGCTAGGCTGATAGTATGTTAAAAAAAAAAAAAAAATACCACCAAAATAAGGTTTTATCAGTCTCGAAAAAAATGGTAAAAAAAAAAAAATTCATATGGGTATAGTGTTGCATGACCACGCAATTGTCATTCAAAGTGTGACAGCACTGAAAGCTGAAAATTGGCCTGGACAGGAAGGGGTAAAAGTGTCCGGACTTGAAGTGGTTAAATAAAGTTGAAAGCTGCAGTGAAATCGGATGTACAAATCACACTGATCTGCAGCTTTGAAATCACACTACTTCAAGTGAATTCAGTGTGCATTCAGTGTGAGCCGGGGCTTAGGGAGCATTAGGGGAAACCATAACTAGTGCAGACATCTGTTTCTGATTTGAACCATTGTGTATCACCAGAATGACTTGACAAACCTAGTCCTTGATGGGTAAAACCAGAAACTGGCAATTATGGCATGACAGCCAGGCTGCATAGACAGTAACTGAGCAGTGTAACTTTCCAGAGTACTTGGTGGGGTGGAGGTTACAGCTCCTGCTGTACCTTCTGCACCTGCCTGGATGGAAGTGTTGCAGGTTTGGAGACCCTAAAGCTGGCCATACATGTTTTTTTATCAGCCTGCGACTAACAGATTCCTCCATCTGCACAAATGATGTGGTTGGAGGGATCCCTCCTACTGGACGCTGTATTCTGACAGCAGGACCCACCACTATCAGAATACACTGATCTGCAGCCATGACCAATGGAAGATTTTACAACATGTCTCTTCAACAGAAGTCAGCTGGACAATCAACCTCTGTCTGGTGGGAAAGCCCACATACTGGTTGAAATATGCCTGTCCCCGGCAGGGCTGGCTAAATTCACATAAGTGTAGGGTCAGTTTAACACGATGACTACATCTCTGTTCTTCAGACCCGTAGGCTTTGTTTTGTGAATGACCTGAAGGAGGAAGGAGGGGGATGACAGATGCAATAGTAGCACAGTTTCAACATCCTAGAAGGCTGTTCTCCCCTCCCAAGGAAAAGAACAGATTTGACAACTGCAGAATAAAGACTGCATTGGGGGGGTTAAAGCCTTGAGCTGTACTTAAAGAATAGTTCTAAATATAGCGGTTGTCAATACAAATGTCGTCATATGCTGTTCCCCTCCTAGATCTAAGATATGAACAATGTAATCCTTAACTACTGATCCTCATCCAGTCAGGGTATGGTGGGTCAGAGAGTGTGTACAGGAAGGCGATCAATGTCATACTGGGTGGGGAGGTTATTTCCACTTATTCTGTGCAAAGAAATCCAACTATGCTCAGTGCCAGATTACCAAATAGGCACCAGCCTATGGGCCCCATGCTGTTTAAGGGCCTGCAACAACAGATTAAAATAATATAGATTTGATCTTGAAAGAAAATTACAATGACGCTTTCTCAAAATTATTTACAAAAAAAAAAAAAAAAAAAAAAAGACAAAAATTAATCAACGCAAAGAAACGAAAACTTTACATTAACCACTTGCCCCCCCAGAAGGTTTTACCCACTCATGATGTTGAAAAAAAAAAAAAAAATTATAATTTTCCGCTGTTATAAAACATATCCAATAAAATCAAAATTTATTTTGGGGACACTAGTCTAGTTCTGGTTGTGATCAAGATACTGCACCAGACACTATACTAGTATTGGAGGAGATTAGCGCCTTATAGTGTGACTGTGATAATATGGCAGGCAATCTGGCGCTGACACTGTCTGGGAGGGAAACTAAGTGACCAATACAAATACAGTGATAATACTATACATGGTCACTATACTAATGACGTTGGCTAGGTGACAGGGAAATCAAAAGGTTAACTGTGGAGGGCAATAAATTGGTAAATGTGCCTAACAATTGTATATGTGCTGCTTGTACAGAATCTGGCTGGCTTCTCCCCCTGAACGAAAAGAAGTCAGGAAGGAAGAAACCAGCCAGATCCTGTGTGTTCTGTTTACAAACAGAGGTCTATGCTGTGATTGACCACAGCTGATCAGCAGGTACACAGCCATAATCATTGGCTGTAACCTGCTGACAAACTCGTGCTGTGACCAATCATAGCTCAGATCAGCAGGGGGCGATCACACATGTGCCTGAAACCCTGAACCAAGTTGCAATGTACAGGAATGTTGCTGTACCTGCAGAGGCGGTAAGTGGTTAAAAACTCTATAGAGAAAAAATACTGTATTAAACCCGTGTTGCTGACACTTCCCGGGCCTTTAAGGGGTTTCTTACCCCGGAGTCAGGATTTAGGGTCATGTGACCGCTGTAATTGGTTATCACGGCAGTCACATGATCAGACAGCTCCCAATCGCAGGTAGCAATCAGGAGCTCTCTGTGAGGCACCGGAAAAGAGCATGTTTTTGTTTACATCAGGTACGCAAATATGCAGATCTCGACAGCAAGGCCCAGCCACTGAGAGGCTGCATATTTGCGTAGAATGGGTGCCAAGGGGTTAACTTAATGTACCCAAGAACAACTTAAACAAAGGATTTCCCAGCAACACTTACCAGCCAGTCTACAACACAAACAATATGGCCCTGTCTAAACAGTTTGCAATAAAAACAGAGGGTTTTGTTTGCACAAATTTGCAAATACATGTGTAAGGCTGGCCATACATTATACAATTATCTGGAGATTTTTGGTTTAGATTTACCAAAAACCATATAATAGGAGGACAAACCTTCTAAACAACACTTTCAGTTGTATCCAATTAGGCAGGCCCTTGCACTACACAGTTGAAGGTAAATCTAAAGGAAATTGGGCAGAAAATTGGAAGATAATTGTATAATGTATGGCCAGCCTTAGCCACAGTTCCACAGCAAGGGTCCTCTGTATACTGTGGACCCAACTCAAAAACTTCCAGAGCCTCCATAGTAGGACGACATATATCAATGGATAGGTTAAGGGCAGGTGGAGGAGCTTATCCCTGCTTAAAGGTATAGGGACGCACAAAAACGCTCAGCTATAGCAAAATGACAGCAAAGACATCTAGTGCGGCCCTGCATCCAAATTAGCCAACTGCACAGAAAATGGCAACCATCCCAGCCTATAACCATCCGTAGCAGTAAGGTGCACATGAAAGGGCAATGTGGCCAAATTGGTTGTTTTGCAGGCTGGCAAGTGTTGCTGAGAATAGCTTTGTTTGCGATGTGCGTTGCCTTCCATGTGCACCTTGCTGCTAGGGTGGGTTGTAGGTTGGGACAGTTGCCATTTTTTGTGCAATGACAACTTAAAGTACATAAACCATAGACATCAGGTTCACATGACAGTTTGGCAGCTGAAAGAAGATGAGCTTTTAAAAGACAGTTTGCAAGATTTTGGTGCAACCTACGTACATGTAATGAACAGTAGTGATGTCATCTTCATCTAGCAGACAGCGTCATCGCTCTACAGCACATGCATGAGAAACCTCCAGAAAACTACGAGGGGGGGACCCAAGGTTTTCACTGTCTAGGGGCCTCCAAGGAGTTTAATATGGCACTGGCGGTTAATCTACCGAATATAGGTACACATCAAAGAGCTCTTACCATCTTTGGTTTTAATGTTCTTTCCTCTACTCTTCATCTGCTGGATGGATTCTTCTGACAGGTATCCATGGACCACAGACACATTGACTCCCCGCCTTCTCAAAGACTTTACCATCCTGAAGAACACAGCTGATGCCTCCTCCACCTACAATAAGAACAAAACTTACTTAAAATTTTAAAAATGTTCAATGTGGACCGAGGACCTGGAATTAAAAACAAAGCACCAGCCAAGTATTTTATATAGAGATAATGGAAGATAGAATCAGATGTCTATGTACCAATCAGATCTGGACAGATCTTTTGTTGTATTCCTGTAATTAATGCACTGGGAAAAAGGGTTGAAATTATTTTACAAATCCCACTTGGCAATCCTTTCTTACAATGTACTCCTTTCATTCATAAGGACTTTAAGCTGTGATCCAATTACATTTGGTTGAAGAAGTCAGGAAATCAGTCCCTGACAGAGAACACGTAGACCAGTAAAAGCCCCAAGTCTAAGTTTTCCAAGTCAGCAATCCATGGGATTATATCCAGAAAGCCCTGTGGATCCAGAGAAATGGAATGATGACAGATCTATGGCTTCCATGATGAATATACATGGACCTAACCACCCCCCCCCCCCCCCCCCCTTCTTCAGAGGACTCATTCACCCCGACAATGACATACAAGTGCTCAGAGATTTCTAAACACTTAAAAGGGAAACCTCACTCAAAAAGGAGAAGTACTGCTCATCCTCTTCCACACACTAGGATTTTCTGGAGGGGGACTGAGTACCATTTTATGGTCGATATCCACTTCCATAGACCTTTCCTGGGCAAGGATAGCATTTACTCGTCCCTGTCTGCAGCTTTTTAGGACACAGCACATGTCCGGGGGGGGGGCAGGGCATGGTGCTGGACCAGTCTCCCTGCACCGCATATCTCATCCATGTCCAGCAGGGAGCAGCGACTGTGATTTGTTCAGGAGTCACAGGATGGTGGTGCCAGGAATCCAGCAGCAGTGAGAAGACTTGGCTGTAGGAGGACAGTGCTGGAATCCATGGACTAGTGAGTTTCTGTTTTGTCAGAATGGGGCCATTTGAGATGAGATACAGGAGACCCAGAGGGGGAAGGTGGCGATCAGCCATCGATGGATGCCCCTCTGAAAACACTGGGACAGTCCTGCAGCCAATTGTGGCCACTGGCATGTATTCTCCCATGGAGTGATTACCTGTGAATGATCAGTCCTGGACACGAACAGTCCTCACCCAGCACTGATACATTGGTAATGGCAAATGTCCCCATTCAGTGTGATGGGATGAGGCGGGAGACTCATACACCATTAACAAAAAACACACTGGTTGGGTATTCTGTTCACTGCTGGAGGATGAGCCCCCATTGCCCAACACCTGACCACACCCAACATGTAGAGTCCCATTTCTACTTACTGCCCCCCCCCCCCCGTCACACTTGTGTGCTCAGCGCACGCTACACACTCAAAGCGCACTTTTTTTTTTTTTTTTTTTTTTAAAAAAAAAGCATATTCTGTTGGATGCGCTTATAAACACACAATACACATTTGTGCACCTGAAGCACTATTAAAGCGCCCCCGCTCTAGAACACCCCCCACCCCAGAATCCCTTTCACCTGCACCCGCTAGAACCCCTCTTGGAGAACCAGGAAACACCCCCCTGACGCTGGATACAGGTGCAGGATCACTCAGACAACACTTGTAAATTGCACAATCACAATGCGGAGTCCCCGTATTTGCTTTTGTCCTGATCACACTCCCCGCTCAGTCCAGTATACAGCCCCCACCCAGAGAAATACAGGAGCCATCGGAGAAGACATCAATGCACAGTGATCAGCGTCCCAACTCATCTTCCTACAGGATGCTGATCAATGTTCTACAGACAGTAGGCGCTGGTTCAGGGTACTGATCAATGTCATCCATCTACCCCAAAGTTTCATACTTTCCTGTCCACACTACCACCAGATCCACAGGGAGCATCCTGACTGTACAAAGCTGGCACAGGACAGTGATCATCACCCCACAGACAGTACAAGCAGAGAGGTCAACCATCAGAGAGTACCGGTGGACACAGGACAGCAATCAGCACCCACAGCCAGCGCAGGGACAGGACGCGACAGGCCACAGGACAGGACAGCGATCAGCACCCACAGCCAGCGCACGGACAGGACAGGACAGCGATCAGCACCCACACAGCCAGCGCACAGGAGCACCCACAGCAGGACAGCGATCAGCAGGCAGAGGACAGCAGTGATCAGTGTCTCAGACAGTACAAGCTGGTACAGGTCACTGATCAGCACCCCTAGGACAGTACAAGGCAGGCACAAGTCAGTGATCAGCACTGGAGGTCAGTGTAAGGACAGGACAGTGATCAGCAACCCCTTCAGACAGTCTAAGCAGAGAGGTCAATGATCTGCACCCCACAGACAGTACAAGGCAGGCAGATGACAGTGATCAGCGTCCCTCTGACAGTATTAGCAGTAAGTCAATAGTGATCAGACACAGGACAGTATCAACTCCCCTCTAAAAACATTATCCGCTGAGAGGTCAGAGATCACTGCCTCGCAGACAGTGACCATCTTCCCAATGACAGTGATCAACATCCCCCAACAGGACAATCAGCTGTGATCCCCCCCGACAGCGATCACCTCCCCACAGACAGTGATGACCGGGCTCTCACCCTCGTTCCTCTCCCAGCGGTCCACAGTGAAGGTGGCGCCCCCGTCCGCCCTCTCTAGGGCCCGGCACACGTCGGCCTGGGTCTCCATGATGAGGAGCTCCATGCTGGTCTTGGTCTCCCGGCTCTTCTCCTTCAGATCCTCTACGGAGGTCACCGGGGCCGCCATGAACGTCTGACACCGCCGGGCCACCTCGTTCTCCTCCGCCGCCATCTCTGCCCGTTGTAGCCGGGAGAATCCCGCCGCCAGACCGGCCACCACCGCAGCCCCCAGCAGGACCGAGGAGCCGGCTCTGGCCCGAGAGCGGACCGCCGGAGTGTGGAAAGCCCGGACCCCCATGGAGGAGAGCGGCCACTTCCCCCGGAGCGCCCGGCCCAACCTCCCCGCCATCTGTACGGACATCACTGCGACCACCGACTACCCAGCCCGCTATATGTACATGTGACCGGGGACACCGACTATGACCGGGCGCACGTCTCCACAGAGGGGAGGGGCCCAGGACACGGGGGCGGGATCTGTCATCGAGCGCTGCGCTGCTATTGGGAGGTGTGCTCGGTCATGTGACTGTGGGCGGGCCGGGGAATACACCGGAACAGAGCCGTGTGAGCTCCGTGTACGCTTCACATACCTGTCAGTACAATCCGACACCATCATAGTACGCATCCGTGCTGACACTACGTCCACAGGAGCGGATCACATGCGGGCTGTAGGTGTGCGGAATCTGCGGACACGTCCCCAAATATCGCACGTCCGCCTGAAATCGTCAATTCGTCTATTTACCGCAAAACAGTCACATTGCTCGGGAAGGCGGCATTCACACCTGAGCGTTTTATAGCACGAAGCTCGAAAACGCTCGGGAAAAAATCAATATTACTCTGTGGAGATGGTTCACATGTAGACTCCAAGTCACCTGAAGCAGAACGCCTGAAGCTCCAAAAGTTTCACAGCTACTTTTGTAGCTCAAATTAGGCAGATTTGCATGTTTATGGTTCATCTTTATTCCCATAGAAAAGAATAGAAATGCACAATTGGTGCGTTTTTTGCACGCTTTCATGTGTTTTGCATGATTTTCTGCTCAAAGGAAAAAATTTTTACAAAGAATACCCAATCATGTGCAAGGAAAAAACAGCATTTTTGCTTGCACATGATTGGATGATGGAAGTCAGCAGAGCTTCCCTTCATTTACTAAGCTGTGGAGTATCTTCACTTGCAAAGTGCTCAGTCTATGTGCTTTTAGTAAATCCACCCCATTACATGTAATACCAATCACAACTAGCAACACAATGGTACACCATGAATGGCATGAAAGGAAGCCATTCATTGTTTACAGTTGTCATGTGAACTGCTGTGATTGGTCACAGCAATCAAATAGTACTGGCAGCAGTTGTGTGGACACAGCACAACACAAGGCACGTTCCGGGAGGTCATCATATGACGTCCACCCAGAATGAGGAAAGACCCATGCAGCCATCATATTACAATAGGCCGGGCAGGAAAGTAGTGGTTAAAGGAGTCATGCACTCAAGAAAGTTTTGTATCTGCCTCATTGAAATTCCCAAAATGTACCTCATTGTGTCCATAATTTGATAGATATAACCATCCAACTCAGAGCTACAGACATACATTACCCCAAAAATAATATTACAATGCACAATATTGCTGCAGCCTTCATTTCAATATACCCAAAGTATGTAACACAATATAACAATAAGAAAGGCAATGCAAACACAAAATGTGCGTTCTGTAGCACCCTCTACTACTGCTACTAGGATAGTGTATTATTATAGACAAAGTAATTGTGTATGACTCTTGGTAGTTGTGTGAGTCTGTGATTGAGCATGTGTTATTGCAGGTAAGCTGGATAACTCAACAGGTTGTGGCTCTATCGCCTTCTCCTGACTCTGGAGGACCAAAGAACCTTGCAGAAGTCGATAAGCAGGAAGGGGTGGAGACCTGATCTGCATGTTCATGGGAGTCCAGCCAATCCCAGGTTTGGAGGCCTTGGTAGAATGATGGACTGACCCATAAATATGGAAGAATCAGGCTGACGGGAGTTGAGTGGAAGATGGAGTGCTGAGGAGACTGTTGGTGCCTGGGAGGGGTCCTCTAGGTGGGGGGCAGCTGGGCTCAGGCTGGCTCAGGAGGATTCATTCAGCAGTGAGGCATGAATGGGATCGAGACCTGGATCAGCAGGGAGCAAAGAGGACAGTGTGAGTTCAGCAGTACCCTCAGGTATCTTCAAGGGGAAAGACTAGCACATGTAGCAAGCTTTCTAAGGACAGCCTGGACTCAATCCTTTATCCTTGATCCAGGAGATGTTCCAAGAAGCCAGGAGGGATGGTAGTGTGTGCAGACTGTGGAGCTGGGAGCAGCTCTACAGGGGCAGATAAGACATCTCTGCATGTAGCTAAGAGAAGGGCTGCTAGTTCCTCACCCAGGGCAGCTGCTACTGATCCACAACAACTGACGGCTTTCAGGGTCAGCCTTTGTACATAGGAGGGAAGTGTCCCCCTTCCATTGATTCAAGCCAAACTGGGCTTCCAATAATCCCTATTTCCCTATCCAAGTTGAATTCACCTATTAAAATAACAAAACCAAGCCAATGAACTGGTCATTGTCTTTGGATGCAAGTCTGTGTGAGAAATACCAGTTGCCTGGCTGTGCAGGGAGAGGCTTAGGATACCTACAACATAGCGGCCCCCGTGAGGGTAGCGCTGCAGTTCTATAAAATAAACACCACTGTGAAAGTCCATGTGATAAGGTGTATGACAAAGAAAGATTCGTCCATCCTGCAATAGTTCTAAGTAAACTCTTCTCAAGAAAGTTCACGGAGACTGCGTTACAATGTTCCTTCTGGCACAATATATCATGCAGGCTGAGCCACTTTGCTGGATTGTTTTAGCGTCTCGTGAGTGTGTTTGTTATTCAAATTTTAGTAAGACAGTTTTCCAGCGTTGAAGCCCCTTCTTTTTTGTTTACCATATGGGGAGTTCCACAAGAGAGGGGAGACAGGATCGGAAGCCATGTTAGATGGAAGTCATCTGTATACGCCTTATATGCCAATCTGTAAAAAGAGAGGCATTGCTGTCTGGTGATCTGGTGAGTCCTAGTCTGCTGGGGAGAGGTGTTTGAGCACTGGAGCACTTTTTAATATAAGTTTAAAATTTTTATGTTTATTTAGAACTGTTGCAGGATGGACTAAAGTGGTTGTAAACCATTGCATATACCCAGTGAAGTGACTGGCCTGTGATACACAGAGATTAAACAACTCCTCCTACATAAGTTGTACCTGTTTATCTGAAGTATTCTTTTCTCAACATCCTTTCAGAGTGCTGAATTTATAAAGCTTGTTGGAGAGTTCAGAAAAAAAAAGGGGCGGAGAGCTGAAATTACACACTGCTGAGCTCAGTGGGGACAGCTCTGACAGCTGATTGGAGAGAAGGAACACACGTCCCTCCACACAGCTCACAGGAACAGAGCTGAGGCTGTCAGTCTGCTGGAGGTTCCTCCCCTGTCACCATAAATTTTTCTGTCTGATGTGATTCATGCTGATAGCAGAGGAACAAAGCAGCAGGCAGAAATGACACTTAGTGGTTGAATGTGTTGATTGCTTGATTCCCCCATGAACACATTAACTGTTGAAGGAGGAATCCCTCCTGTGGAGTTTTTGTATTCTGTATTTTGTTTCCCATCCCGCAGAATACAAAGATCGCTGCCTGCAGTAGTGATCAAACAAAAAAAAAACAGATAGGCTGGTTGTACTGAAGTCGATCGATAGATCAACTTCAGTACAATCAGCCTGTTCGTACATGGGTCGAAATTCAGCTAGTCCCTATTGAACTGGCTGGATTTTGAATCATTTGTGGTCGGCTTACGTTGTAATGTTTTACTCCAACCAAAGTCTAATCTCTGACCATTTTTGTCCCTATTGGGGACATTTCCAATCCAATCACTTCCCTTCAGGACAGGAAGTGACCGGCAAACTCTTCAAGGGAGATATAAAAGCAAACATATCTTTTTTAGTAGAGCGAAGAAATATTGGAACTTGTGACAATGTTTTGTTTGCTGTCCGTGCTTGTAATAATCCTTTCTTGCCCAGGTGTCATGGAGACAGGAAAAAATGTCTTCAATGGGGGTCACCAACTGAATACCAAGACAGAAAATGTAACTCTTCCCCATCCTATCCAAAGCTGTACTGTAGTTAGTCTGTAACCCTTTTGTAACCAAAGCACCTGTAACCAATCACGGCTGCTCACATGTCTGCATCCAGGGCCACTCACATTTTCAATGGGGCTGCCTCCTGCAGCTAGTCACTGGGAACCCCCGCTGGGTCTCCTGCATGAAATCGCACATGGCCACATTTGCAACTGTGCGTGGGGATATAAACTAGAATATATGCTGTCACCTTTAGAAGATGCCTGAAAACTCGTCTCTTCATACCTCTACCTTACAACCAAACTTTTACTTACTCCATCAAGTCTTCCCCTCAGTTATTATTGTTTGTATTACTTGCCTCTCCCTTTTAGATTTTAAAGGATAAGTTCACCTTTTTACCAAAAATAATAAATGTACATTTTTTTTTCAGATAACAAAATGTGCATTTATTATTTGTGGTTGCAGGAGCCTGGAAATCATTGCACCAGCAGCAGAGATTGGCATATCACTGGTGCCATGCAGTTCTCCTTGAGATCTGTCAGTATATCTACTTGCCTGTATGGGATGTACGTGCAAACAGACTTACTGACAGGAAGAATGAATGAAATGAACTACCAGGGTGCTCCACAGTGCCATGTTAGTTCATTGAGAACTTCAAGCCGACATCCGCTAAGGCTGTTGAGACTTGCAGTTTCTCATTCACAGAAGGCTATGAATGAGTGACGCAGCCATGCAGGTGGAGCCCCGCACAGCCAGTTTTTGTTAAATTTGACAGCTACTGGGGGAGAGGAGATTCCCCACTAGCTGTCAAAGATGGGGATTCGGGGGAGCGGGGACTGCTGCATTCATAACATGTTACATGTTACACCCTGAATATGGGTGTAACATGTAACAAGTTATGAAAGATGAACTGATCCTTTAAAGCGGAGTTCCACCCAAAAGGGGAAGTTCTGCTTTAAAGATTGGTTCCTCGCTCCCCATTAAGGATTGGCACCTTTGGGGAGCGGGTACCCGAATTTGACAGGTACCCACTCCAACTTCCACTGCGATCACTTAGGCGATCGGAAACAGAAGTTGTCCTCCTACCCTCCCTCCCCGAAGTCTTGTGGGACACATGACAAGTCCCAGAAGACGACGGGGCCATTCATACTCACGCATGCACACTGGGCCCTCGGGCGCAAGCTGTCACAACCGGGTGCCCACACTGAAGATGCTGGCCTCCTGGAATACAGGACGGCTGGTGAAAC